TCATTGCTATCGATCTTTTCCATTGTGTCAGGCCCCGGATCAACTGCTGATCGTCACAACTTAACACAGACACACGGTGCCTCTTTAATACTGAAACACAAACATATTATTGTCTCACCAAGCAAAACCCACAACACAGAAGCACGTTGTTACAACCCCGGCGGGTTGTAAAAAGGACGTGGGAACAAATTAAGAACTGTTATAATTAATTATGTTTCGAGCTATTATGTATTCTGAATCTGTATTTTTCCACTGAGCCTATGATTCTGTTTTGTGTTTTTCTACTGAGCACAGTACACGTCCTTGAAGACAATATGGCCGCTGAGAACTGGTTCACACACCGAGAGACAGCAGAACCTCCCCTGTTCCTTCAGATAGGATTGTTACTTTAGCTACACGGCGTACCAACAACATCCACACATATTGTTTACCAAATTTCAAAGACGTGAACAGAGCGCGGAAGAGGTATGCCTGTCCATTGGTAACTGGCCAATTAAACTCGATAGCATGCAAGTCCAATCTCTGTTCACAGCAGGCTCAGCCCAAGATGATATCTGTAACCTGAACCTGGAAAAACTCAGTTCAGCGAGATATGAGATTCCTCTGGGTCTCTCTGAAGCCAGCGCTGTCTCACTTTTCCTGTGACCTGAATAAATTCTACATCCGAGAACTGAAGATTTCTCCGGTTTGTTCTTGGGTTTCCTACTAAAGAATTGGGTGTAACAATTTTGGTGCTGTGACCCGGATTGGTTGACTCTGAGACCATGTCTGCCGGAGTCGACTGGCGGGGAGTCTTTTTCAGACAATTCCAGGCGCCTAAAACAAAACGGTGAGCAGAAAACCTCTTTTCCACTTGAAATTTCTGCATATTGGGCATACCAAAAGAAATGGTCTGAATAAGATCAATCTCTGATCACTAAAGGCAACGTAATTGTCTTTTGGGGAATGATTAATGATTGATTTTTATTTTATTTTTTTACTGAAATGGTCACATGCAAAGTGTAGAACACATAGTCTTACGTGAGGGAAAGTTTAATTGGCTATCAATACCAGGGATTAGCCCGATGACAAAATAATACCAGGGATCAGCCCAATGAAAAAAATACCAGGGATTGGCCTGAAAAAAAAAAAAAAATCTTAATGAGGAGACAGGGATGAGTTTGTTCTTTCTCATAGGAACACGGTGATAAGTTTATTTTTCATACAAATGTGGGGGGGGTTTCCTACTTGATTGATATTTTACTGTGCATGTGTGAGTGTATCAGACAGTACAGACTGCTTGAGAATTCCTGCACTAACACAGATCTCAAGTAGTTGTGTGCATGGGGATTGGAATACAATAAAAGGGGATATTTCAGTTAGGGTGTTATTTGAGGTGGTGAATTAAAACGAGTGAAGAGGCTGGGAAAACCCTCAACAATCACAGAGCACTAGACTCTTGATTGGGTCCTTCACTCGGGCACTGCACCATTCACCCTCTCTGAATAATACGTGTAATAATCATTGAAATGTTGCAGAGATTTGTGGATAGATGGACAGACTGTAATCCAGCTTTTTGGGGTCGGTACTGGTTGAAAACAATAATCAGGTGGTTAAAGTAAGTTCCAAAAGATGAGAATAAAAAAGGGTTAAAGAGATTTGTAGATTTTAGAAGAGAAATGTAGCAGAAAGGAATGTTTGGAGATTGTGCCACTCCTCCACCTACTGACTGGTTTCACCAGCAGGCAGATGGGAGTGTGAGGAAAGATAGGAGCAAACAAAGAGATGCAGAAAAGGTGCAAAGAGGGAATGCAGAGAAAGTAGTTAAGAAGGTAGAGAGGTTTTTAGTGGACTGAGAATGTTTTTTGGGTGAAGGTATGATTGAAAGAAGATAGACTGAACAACTGGATCCATAAGACACACTGTGCTCTGACTCAAGACCCGACAGACTGACTGAGGTTCGGACTGACTTAGGAACCTCACTGACTGACAATGACCACAACTCTGGAAATGAAACCCTACCAGAAATTGGAAAGAACTCAACTGATGAAATGCTCCGAAAAGAGTCCACTATGCAAATTAGGTTGTAGTAAAGACAATTAAAGCCTGAGCTTCAGAAGTAACCTCACGTTCATCTGAGAACCTAAGATTTCTCCGGTTTGTTCTTGGGCTTTCAACTAAAGAATCGGGTCTGACAGAACAAACATGAAAACATAATTCAAAGCTGTGTAGGTTTATTAGCGTATCCTACAAATACAAGCTTTAATGCTAAAATCAGCTCACTGCTGTGGGGTGGTATTGATATGACATTGCCTGCAGCCAACAGGGAAAAAAATGAATGAAGGAAGACAGGAGCTCATAGAGATCCTCGTCAGGGTGCGATGTTTTACCGGTCTCGAAAAACCCTCACATTCCTCAGTGATCCCTCACAATTTGCAGGTGAACTGATTTAACCTGAACTTACCTCGCTAATCCCAAATCCTGCTTCGCAGAACACACCCCAGGTGGTTATCCAGAAAACAAGCCCAGATCAACTGCAGATATTTCCAACAACCCAGACACACCCTGCCTGTTTCATTATGAAACAGAAACATACTATTGTCTCACCAAGCAAAACCCACAACACAGAAGCACATTGTGTTGTGTTGTGTGTTAGTCTGTGCATTCAGTGTCAGAGATCCAGAGCAGAACTTCACGCTTAACTTGGGTTTGTTCACCGAAACACACACAGCAGCCTCCCACCGCAACAACACGAAGCAGAACACTAGTTTGGTTTGATAAAATACATCAGAACAAAACACGTCCAGTCCTCCACGTCTGAACCGCGGAGCAGCAGGTTATGTTGGAGATTGAGATCACTGGGTCACTGACAATCAGTTCACCTGTCAAACTTCAGAAGGAGCAGAAAACGAAGTCGTTCTTAACAAAATGGCATCACCATTTATAGAAGACCCTCAGATGTGCTTATTGTCTGATACGTGCCTTCATGATGGAACAGTGATCGTATTTGTTTTTAATTGTAAACTCATGAACTTGTGCATTCACACAGTCAGCAGTTTTCTGCCAGCATTCCTTCCTGGCTTTGGTCACTGTGACGGTGCTGCTTGTTGCTCCTATGATGTTTTTATATTATTCTTCGTATATTGTAAAGATTATATTCTGCTCCTCGGCGGTAAAGTGAGCCGCTCTGCAGCCAGACTTGTCCATAGTCGTGATTGGTCAGATGCGGATAACACCGCCCAATTCATTTGTACGCGCTCATACTCAGATCAGACAAACCTGGGTTGATTTACTGAGTTGACAACCGCCGTTGTAGGACCGGTTATCCTGAGTGCAGTTGTTAAATGAATCAAGGACGACAGGAGCTCATAGAGAGCTTTGTCAGGGTGTGCTAAGGGGTTTTGGTTCTGAAAAACCTTTGCACGCCTCAGTGATCCCTGAACACAACGTCCAGCAGAGGGAGACACACTCAGGCTGAAGCCTGTGATTTCTAAACGCTACTTTTCAGTCGCGTGATTATGGTGTTCCTCAGGGTTCTTAGACACATCAGTGAGAACCTCTGATGGAACCAATGTGTTCCTCAGCTTGACTTCTTTCACTTGCAAACACAAAGAGACAGAAATTAAACCACGTGTGGATTCAGTCTGTCAGAGCAAAAAATGTTCCCACAACGCCGGTCAGCGTAACCTAGACGTTCTAATAATGTTCTAAAGGTTTAATCTAATGTTTTGAGAGCGTTTCAAGAATATTTGGCTGTAAACAGTGTTCCTATAAGACTGAACATTTTACCTGCATCATTCAGAGAAGGGTGTTCTCAGACTGTGTTCCATGATTATGCTGAGAAAATGTTTTACAGATGTTTTCATGGCTTCGGATGATTTTTATAAAACGTTTCTGTAACATGATGTATCAACAAAGGTGGATGGTGCTGACGGAGCACTTTATAGAACAAACCCAGAATGGTAAACAGTGTTAGATGATGGCAAAGTAGTTGTCCAGCGTTCACAAAAAACCTTCTGGGAACTAAAAATAAAAACTTCCCTCAAACATCACCAGAACTCTGCAGAACTGAGAACATTTTAAGGGTGAATAACTTCCAGCTGAGGAGAACAGGTGTCACCTGTTCAGAGGATTCTTTCAGCTTCGTCCATCATGTTCCACAGTTGCGTCTGAGCTTTGTTCTGTCTTCTGCTGATCTGAATCATAAACATCTGTTCTCCTGAATGGAACTCCTAAAGAACCTGGTGCTGCAATGAGACAGAGAACATCGGATCTGATCGCATCTCTTCAGCTGTTAGGAGAATGAATCAGATTGTTCTTTAATCTCTGGGAGGTTCCTGCACTTTACTCAAGTAAAAATAACACAAACTTATATGAAGGTGAACAAAATATTTGTACTAGAGAAGGTCAGTTGGAGTCAGTTCAGACAGTAGAGTTCCTGATTCTGTTTACAGTTTATTTATCTGTTTGTTTGCTTTTTCAAAACTAAGTTCAGTAAAATATTTTTGGCTGAATTTGGAAAATATTCATGTTGTCAGACCTGAGAATTTGTGTACTTTCACCCTCAAAAAAACCCTGCTTGAATATCTCCAGAAATAAGACTTCCACAGTTTTGACATTTGGCTTTGAGAGTTTTTAAAAGAATCGTTTCCTGCAAATCAAATGACTAAATATATCCAGCAGAGGACACATTTTTGATTACTTGACTTTGAAAATGGAAAAAGGAAAAAAAAGGAAAAATTTTTGAAAAAACTGAAACTATTCTAGTAGTCTACAGTCTGTGTCCTCACCAAATGTCACGGCTGTGGGAGTTTTACTACTGGAGATGCCGAACCCTTAAAAATGGATTTCCAGGTTTATTTGAGGGTGAAAATAAATTATCTACAGTGACTTTAGTATACACACACTTTTTAACGGACTTCTTCCATCATTTCTGAACCTCATAACCTAATTTTTCAGGGCTGAAAAACACATTTAAACTCACAACAAACAAACTGACAGAGAACACAACGGGGACGAAATGAGAGGCTGCAGGAACAGAGGACATTTATTTCACAGTGGAACATCCGAGGTTCAGTTTGAAGCTTCAGCTGTAGTTTGGTTCAGTGTCCCACAGGAGGCAGCGCTGAGGCCTTCACTGTACCACAGCGGTTAGTAGCATCACGAGTAGTACTACAGTAATATTACAGTACAGTGCAGTAATAATAATAATAATACTTCTGAGGCAGAGGATCAATAACACTGATGGGGACGTCTCTATGGCGACAGAGGGGCGGGCCTTCATCTAGTCACATGCCTGGACGTAGTTATTGGGAAAGAATCCCTGTTTGCCATTCAGGAAACCCTGACACCAGCCGTCGTCATGGCGATGAGTCACATAGATGATGTCACCCTCGGCGAGGGAAAGATCATCGGGCTTCGATGCTTCGTAGGCGTAGAGCGCCACCACTGGACACACAACGAACTGCAGTCACACACTGTATACACATACTTTGTACATATACAGTACGTATACATACAGGTGGATGGTAATATTGGTAGAGGTAATAGTTGTATCAGCCGTGGTAGTATTAGTAGTGGTAGCTGTAGTGGAGGTACTAGTATTGTTAGCAGTAACACTTATATATAATATTAGTAATAATAGTAGTAGTGGTAGTAACAGGTGTAATCGTTGTCACAGAAGCAGCAGTAGTAGTGCTGGTACTACCTTTTTCCAGGTACTCCGGGGGGGCGCTGGTGTCATAGTCCACTGGTGGAGGAAGGGGCGGTATGATGTCAACAAAGTCCACTTCATCATCCAATAGGAGAGCGGGGGGCGGGGCTGGAATCTCCAGATCTATGACAACATTAGTTCTGTGAGTGACAGCTGTGATGGACCAATTAGGTTTGACGAGGCGGCGGTTAGACTGAGCTGAATGTGTACTCTGGTGTATAGTACTACTGCTGTACTACTTTAACACTACATTGTTACAGTTAATAGCACTACCTTCATGAATACGAATACTGTTGATCATATACATGTATAACACTTTTTACCAACTGTGTACTAACTGTATATCAACTGTGTGTCAGCTGTGTACTAACTGTATTAGCAGCCTACTAACTGTATAGTAACTGTGCACTGAGTGTGTACTAACAGTACATTAACTGGACATCAACAGTGTGTTCTTACCCAGGTGTTGCAGGCGAGCAGGTAAGCAGAGTCGAGGCGAGGAGGAGGGGGGCAGCAGGGAGAGGGGGGAGGCGGGGGAACGAGCAGGAGTGCGGGGGGGCGGGTAAGACGGGGGAGGGGGGATCATGACTGACAGTCAGAGAGAGGCAGCGTCAGAATCTGAGACAGAGTGAGCATTCATTCATTCGTAGACAATCTGTGACCAACCAGGACCTTAGAACTGACTTAAGGCTACCTGGAAACTTTTGAAGCATCCCTTCAACTGTCTCAAGGACTATGGTCACTACTTAAAGGACCCAAAAAACTTCCTAAAGCCTCCTTAAGGGACATAAGAGCTTCTTCAAGGGGGCCTTGTCACTAAGTACCAGAACAATCCCAAGGACTATAGATCTAACTCAAGGATTCCTTGAATCTTCTCAAGGACCTGATAACCTTCTCAATGACTACTGGAACATTCCTAGGGACTTTACAATGGACTTAATTATTCCTGGAACCTTCTCAAGGACTACTGTAACTACTTCTAGGGATCCAAAAAACTTTCTAAAACCTCCTCAAGGCACTCAACAGCTTCATTAAGCAGGCCTTAAACCTCTTCAAGGACCTCATACAGTTGTCAGTGACTATTGGACATTCTTAAAGGACCTTAGATTTGACTTCTGGAACTTCCTTAAGGATCTACAGAACGGCTTCATGGAATCTGGAATGAGTCCTGGAACCTTCTCAAGGCCCGGCAGAACTGCAATCTCTTTGGTTCTTGATCTACATCTCACTGATTATGTCTGCTGAGTTTCTATCGGACACAGCCGGCGCCGCCCACCAACGGCTTACGTGATTGGACAGCAGGCAGGAAGAGGGAGCGGGTGTAGCGGCAGCGGGAGGCGGGGCCTGAGCGGACCCTTAAAGACACAGAGCGTGTGGTGGGGGGGGAGCGGCGGCGGCGACTCCTCCTGTTGGGGAGGGTCACTGAAATCACACAACAGAAGACGACGACACTGAAGAACAACACCACAGAAGAAGACAAGAAGCAGCACAGACTTAAATTGCACATTTCCTGGTTGTAGTTTGGTGACTAACCTGTCTGAAACAGTCTGCTCCACTTTCTGTTATTTGTCAATGATCTGCATGGTACTAAAAATACCAGATTTTTGAGTGGAGTTTTAAATGTGGCAACTTTGCTTCCATAACCTGGACCTTTTCAAAGACTCTCAGGACTTCAATGATGACTACATTTGAAACCAGGGGAAAAGGTGAAAGGTTTGGCTGGATGTCAAACAGGCTGAATTCACCACATCTGACTGTATAATATACTACGTCTACATCTTTTTTTCCTTTTCTTCCTTTTTGTTTTCATTAAAAGCAGGGAAATCATTTTTACCCCTTTTTCATGTGGACTTTAGTGTATAGCCTTTGGAAACAACAAGCTGGAGTGTTTAGGATTTGAGAGGAACATAGATTAAAAAATGCTAATGATGCATCTTGTGAGTCTTTCCTGCAGTGTTTGCTGTTCTGCTGCTCTTCAGCATCCCCTGTTGGTTGGATAGTGGCGCCTATGGTGTGTTTATATATGAAACAAGTTGCTCATTAACCAAAACAACCAAAAAAGTCTCAATAAATGCTCTTGGTTTAAATGCTCATTGTTCTATATTTCTATGGGAACAAATAAGTGTTTCCTTTAGTTAAAGCTGTGGTCCTGTGACGTACATGGGAAGTTATTCAGGGTTAATCTATTTGTAAAGTCATGCTTATATAAGCCGAAAGTTGCTGCTGTAGAAAGGCATTAAATTGTGTGATCAGTAAATAGACTTTGGTGGAGTGTGTTGGTGCTGTTTGTACAACAGCAGCCTCTCAGTGGTTGTTTAATCCACAGCAGACAGGTTGGTAGCTAACAGCTACCACACAGTTCAGTTATCAGAAAACGGTACCGTCCACTTCCTGGCTGGGTGGAGGGGGTGGGGGCGGGGCTGGCAGCTCTGAGCCGTCACTGGACAACGGAGGGAATCCATCATCATCAGAGGGAGGAGGGGGAGGAGGCGAGGGAGGGGGGAAGCTGTTCTCCTCCACCACTACGAAGAGAGGACATGTGATGTCATTGTGATGTCACACAGTTTAACCAATGCAGGAAGAGTAAGACTAAGGTGAAGATGAACAGTTCAACCTAACCATGTTCAACAAAACTAGGTTTACTGAAAACACAATGAAGGAATTAACTAACCGTATTGAACTAAACCATGTTTAACTAAACCAGATTCAACAAAACTTAATTTATCTAATCAACGTTTAAAGTTAAAGATTTAACTGATCCAGGTTAAACAGATCAGGTTGGATTGGTAAATATTGCTTGCAATTAGATCAGGTTTAACAAAATCAGATATACTTAATCAAGGTTTAAACAAATCAAGGTTAAGCTAATCCTGGTTTAACTAATTTAGGCTTTAACAAACAGATTCAACACACGACAAGATTTAACTTATTTGAAGTGTACTAGTTCAACTACATTTAACTCCAGGATAAAATAATATATGTTTAACTGATCAAGGTTTAACAAATCAGGTTGGCAAAATGCTACCATGGTTGTTATTTCAAGTTTAATAATGCTTAATGATGAATTGAGGTTCAATCTGATCAAGGTTTAACTGACTCAGTTTTAGCTATTTAAGGTTTTAACTAATCCAGGTTTTACTCATCTAGATTTCGTTAAACAGGATGTAGCTTAACTGGTATAAAATAATCAAAATTTAACTGAATTGAAATAGTCCACGCTAAAGTAAGTAAGTCTAACTTTGGTTAAACTAATCCTGGTTAAGTTAATTGAAGTTTTAGGTCTAAACAGATTTTGCTAGGTAAGACTTAGCTTATCCGTCATGACAGGTTTAACCACATTTAAATAATCTAGGCAAAAGTAATAAAGGTTTAACTAATCCTGGTTAAGCTAATAACAGTTTTAAGTAGCCTAGGTTTAACTCATCTAGACTTAGCTAAACAAAATTTAGCTTACCCAGGTTTAATCCAATTTTAACTAAATTTCAATAATCCAGGCTAAAGTAATAAATGTTTAACTAAAGTTCATGTAATTGGAGGTCAGTTCAAGACTAATGATTCAGTTGTGTCACGGTAAACAAACTGTTTTTGTTTATGTCCTTACCTGTCTCAAGGCTAAGAGGTGGAGCTGGGGGCGGAGCACTCTGATTGGTCAGACCCATTGCAGGAGGAGGAACTGGTGGAGGGGGAGGGGGAGGAGGCGGAGCCACCATGTCTCCTGATGAATCTGGAGGAGGAGGTGGAGGGGGTAGGCCTAAGATATTAGTGACCTCATCATCCTGAGCCGGGATCTCAATGTCTGCCGGCGGAGGGGGCGGGGTGTCATCCAGCAGCGTGGTGATGATATCACACTCAGGTGGAGCCTGCCAGGTGGGCGGGATGGTAGGCGGAGCAACAGCTTTCCCAAAGCTGGAGCTGAGAGGCAGAATGGTCACAATAACAATCCTGAATTTATGATTTGAAATGATTTCCTGTCACCTGATTGTTTCTGTGATATTCCAGCTTTTACAGCAATATTTTTATTAAGTATAATAACTACATGTTTACTCCAAATGTCAAGTGAATCTTTGAGCGGTATGACCTCAATGTGACGTCAGATTACAAACTACCAGTTTTGATTTCCTATGTTAAAATTCAAGCAGGAACTCAATGCAACTGAAGTCTGTCCAGCTTTCATTACTGAGATTCTTTGATGTCTTCAGTCCTTCTTATGTCCACCTTTATTTCTGATAACAGACTCAATCCTCCTCAGCATGGAGAACATCAGAGTCCACTAATTTTAGCTCACATTTTTCTCACATTCTTCACACACTGTTTTATTCAGCTGCTCTTTGCTGGAGGGCTTGTGTTGCTCTACTGTTCTCTGGAAAATACCACAAAGGTGCTCCGTTGGATTTAAGTCAGGCCATAAACTTTCCAGTTCACAGGTGGACAGTTTTGAGACATTTTAAGTCATGTTGGACAAATTTTAAGTCATTGTGGAGAGGTTATGAGTATTTTCAATAGTCTTTCTATAATATTTGTGACAGTTCATCAGGGGGAAGCACTCTGCAGTTATTTGGAGCTGACCCAGTTTTGGATCAGTGATCATTTCACATCTGTACATATTCCTCAGAGCTGTACTATCTGCTGCTGTAAACTGTAGAAACATTCACTCAAACCGGATTTTTTAAGGCCTAGACACTGACTGTAGGCTCGATGTAGTTATAGGTCAACCTAGATCAGCCTGCAAGGTGAAGCTGAGGGCATACAAACACAGCACATAAGTTTGTAATGTGTTCCATTTACCCTCCTGCAGGGGGCGCCACCGGACACTGCACCGCCTCCACAGGCTTGTTGGACCTGAAACAGACAGAAACATGAGGCTGTAGGCAGAGGAGTGGGAGAAGAAGCTGCTGAGAATAGAACCTCAGTGAAAACAGAACCAACCTGACGGAGGCTCCCTGTTTCCGGATGGTTCCTGTTCGGTCTGACTGTTTCCCAGAAACCTAAGGAGGGGGGGGCACATAGAGCATCAATAGACCTGAGGGGGGCACATAGAGCATGAATGAAGCCTCTCAGCCTCTAATTAGTCTCTACAAACATTTTCCCACGGTGGACAAAGAACTCTGGCTGCAGGAGTGTGAGTTTGATCTGCTGGATCTGTGAGGACCGACCAGGAAGCTGCAGCTTCACCAGGACAGGCCCAGTAAAAGAGGTTAAACAGGACGGTTCTGATTGTTTTGTCTTCACATATTATAGACATTTAACTATTTCCATGTTTACAGCCTCTGCAGACTTTTCCATTCTACTCTGCACATCAGCTGCAAAAATTAATTAATTAATTAAAGTCCTGCGCTTTTATGGAAACAGAACAACCAAGAAGAAGGAGAGAGAACCCAGAAATACCTTCTGTCACTATGAGTCAGTTATAAAATCATTTCTATAAGTTCTATAAGTCTGAAAACAGTCTGTCTAACTCACAAAAATTCATTTATTGACAACATCCTGTCATGAAATACATTGATTTTTACATGTGTGGGAGTCATGAAATAAAAATGCAAATAGAAAAAAATCCTAATTTCCAACATGTTTCCAAGTGTCCACAGGTGCCACCAACAATATAAAAGAAAAAAGCTTCTACACACTGACAGTTTGTCGTTCTGTGTCAAGTATCTGTCATTTGGCATCAAATTTCTGTTATTTTGCGTCATTTTTCTGTTGTGTGTCAAGTTTTTTTGTTCTGTGTTTCGTTTTTGGCATTTTGTGTCTCTTTGTGGTTGTTTTGTGTCCAGTTTTTGTGGCTTGGTCTCTTGTTTTTCTCTTTATTTGTTTCACATTGCTTGTTTTGTGTCGTTTTGTGTCTCTGTGGTCACTTTGTAGTACACATACTATAAATAATTAACTATTTCCATGTTTACAGCTTCTACAAACTTTTTCTCTCTACTCTGTGCATCAGCTGTAGAAAGATGTTTCACCGTGCTGAATGTATCTTCCACCAACTTGTTGCACTGTAAACTGTTTTTGAGCCATGCTGCATTAATTTCATTGAGCCAGTAAGTTTGAGTTTCCTCTCAGTCTCTCTAGTCGTCTTCTCTCTGCTCTGTGGAAACACTGCCTGCAGTTCACTTGAAAACTCTCAGATCTAAAAGGATGCAGCTTCTCATCTACATGATGCTTGAATAGAATATAGCTCATGTCTTGCGGTGTCACGCGTGTTAATGATGCAGGTTTAAAAGTGTCACACAGTGAATGCTGAAATATTCAAGTAGAGTACAATTAAAAGTGAGTGCAGTAGTTGAGGAAATGTACTTTGCAGCGACTGATAGATGTGTGTCTGAATCAGCTGCTTAAAGGAGGAACTTTAACTGCTGCATCATTTCTGCTTCTAAGGTTCAGCAGCTTCACCTCAAGCTTCACTTCTGCTTCTGTTCCAGTCTATTAGGTTCCTGTCAGAGAGTTTCTGCTCAGAATAAATGTCTGGACCACAAAAATAGGTCACTGCTTCACTAATCAGTTGCTGTTGTTGAACGCAGCACATGCTGAACGTCTACAGGAATAACTGCAGATAAATGTACAGCTGACATGAGTTAGATAACAGCTGATGATGGCAGATAAACCAGACGCAGGTTTAACCATGAGGTGTAAAACTGTCTTTTCAAAATGGACTTCTGCATTAAACGATTCAGCAGTTTAACAAACACACCAGTCACATGACTCAGATGTGTTACCTTCATGCCGTGGCCCAGGCCGTCCAGCTGCTGGTAGTTGATTGGTCGGCGGCTGTATGGTGGGCGGGCCTGTGAGCCTTGAGGAGGGAAGATCTTGTGGCTGCGAGGGACTCGTCTGACCGCTGTGAAGGCGCCAATTTCCCTTCGACAAACCTTCTCTTTGTGCATCTCCACCGTCTGAGGACCAATAGGAGACAAACAGGAGGGGCACTGAGCTTGTTTTGGTTGTTTTGTCTTTGTGGTTGTATTGTGTTTGTCTGCAGCTTTTTTCATGTCTCTTTGTGTTTGTTTTGTGTCTCTGGTATTCACCTGACCAATCAGGTTGATGGAAGACTCCATGTGGCGAAGTTGATTGGTTTGAGCATCCAGCAGACTCAGGACGCTATTGGCCAGAGTGCTGATCTGGTAGGCGACGCTGGCCAGTGACTGGGTGGTAAAGTTTTTAGTTTCCTCCAATGCCTTCATGCTGCCGTCACCTGACTGATGGAGAAAAGGGGGGGTTAGCTTAGCTTAGCACAAAGATTGGAGGCAAAAGGAAACTGTTAGCTTAGAAAAAAGACTGGAGGAAAAGAAAAATCATTAGCTTAGCTCAGCACATAGACTGGAGGCAAAGAGAACTATTAGCTTTGCTTAGCATGACAACTGAAAGCAAATGGAAAGTACCGGCTCATTTTAGCATGAAGACAGGAGACAAAGGGAAACTTTTAGCCTAGCTTAGCATAAAGACTGGCGTCAAAGGGAAACTGTGAGCTTAGCGTAGCACATAGACTTGATGCAGAGGGAAACTGTTAATCTAGCTAAGCACAAAGACTGGACACAAGGGGAAATTGTTAGTTTGCCCTAGAATGTACACTGGAAAGGGAAACTGTTAGCTTATCTTAGCATTAAATCAGGATACAAAGGGAAACTGTTAGCCTAGCTTAGCACAAAGACTAGAGAAAAAGGAAAATTGTAATTTAGCTGAGCAGAAGAAATTGGAAACAGCAGTAATAGTACTAGTACCTGTATGGAGTAATACTACCTGTATATATTTGTTGTATCAGGAGTACTGCCTGTATGTAGTGGAACCTGCATATACTACTACCTTTACGTAGTTGTTGTACATGTAGTACTACATGTATGTAGCTGTGGCAGTAGTAGTACCTGCAGGTAGTCATGCCTGTATGTGGTTGTACATACAGTACATAGTTGATGTTGAAGTAATAGTATCTGTATGTAGTACTACCTGTGCATAGTTGTTGTAGCAGTAATAGTATCTGTATGTAGTACTACCTGTACATAGTTGTTGTAGCAGTAATAGTATCTGTATGTAGTAGTACCTGTGCATAGTTGTTGTAGCAGTACTCTGCCACATTCAGCAGGTTGTCATAGTTTTCTCGCAGAGCTTTCCTGGCGTTCGGAGCTTCTTCCAGGATCTTTTTCACCTCGTCGTTCAAGTTCTGGTCCTTCATGATTCACACAGAAGCTTCTACAAGTACTGCAGGTTCTATCAGCTGGATCCTGAAGGGACCTGCAGAGACCAGAACCAGAACCACTCAGCATTTACTCTCCTGGAGAGTGTAAGGAATAAATCATGGTAAATATAATTTGGCATTTTGACAAGAATTTACAAAAAAAAACTCTTTCATGTCAAAGCGAAAACAGATTTCTATGAAGTAATGTCAAATAATCAAAAATATAAGACCTAAAATAAGTGATTGCATAAGAATTCACCTCCTTCCAAACATTATTTAGTAGATGCACCTTTGGCTGTAGTTACAGAACTAATCCTGCGTTGGTCTTAATCAGCCTGAACATGTGGATGCTGCAGTTTTACCTCATTCTTATTTGTAAAACTGTTCTAACTCTGTTAGGTTACATAGGGATCATGGGTGAACCTTTTCAAGTCCATACACAAATTCTCAGTTAGCTTGAGGTCTGAGCCACTCCAGAACATTCACCTTGTTGTCTTTAAACCATTTCTGTGGCACTTTGGCTGACTGTCTTGCTGGAAAACAAATCTTCTCCAGTCACAGCTTTCGTCACACTATGATGCTTCACACTATGATGCTGCCACCACCATGCCCCACACTGGGGGTGGTGTGTTCGTGATGATATCCAGTGTTTGGTGTCTGCCAAACGTAGTGTCTAGTTTGATAGACAAAAAGCTCCATTTTGGTCTCATCAGACAAAAAGAACCTTCTTCCAGTTGACTTCAGAGTCTCCCTCAGGCCTGCTGGTGAACTGTAGTCCAGATTTAATGTGAGCTCTTTACAACAGTGTATGAACAGTCAGTGACTTGGAAATGATCTTGTATCATCCCCTAAGTGATTGATGATTTCCAATAACCTTTTCACAGAGTTCTGCAGTGTTCTTTTGTCTTTATAGTGTAGTTATACCCAGAAGTACTGATTCACCAGTGGCTGGACCTTCAAGGTACAGGTGTCTTTCTACTACAATCACTGAAACACATTCACTGTACACAGAGGATCGCATTTCCTTGTGACTTCTAGCACCAACTGGCTGCACCTACGTTTATTTAGGGGAGTCACTTTAAAGGAAGTGAATGCCGCTGCAATCACTTATTCTACATTTTACATTTTTAATTAATTGACGATTTTGTAGAAATCTGTTTTCACTTTGACATGAAAGAGTGAAAATTCTTGTCATAAAGTCAAATTAATTTGACCTTGATTCAATGTTGAAAAGCAATGAAAGGAGAAATCCTCCAAAGGGGTGAAAACTTTTTTATAGGCTCTGGATACCGGAGTCCATCATAGATTTAATAAAAATGACAAAATACACCATATGCCTAAACAATATAAAATTGATTTAAAATCCTGCCCTGTGATGCAGATGAAATGAAAAAGAAGTGGAGCAGACTGAAGTTAAAACTCACCAGAGTCAGACAGCAGATGTAGTTTGATGAGTTGCACTTCTGCTGGTGTCTCCTCCTGTCTGGTTTAACTTCACTCTGCAGCTACAAGTTTCCTTTCTGCTGCTGCGACCTCAGTCAGAGATCCTCTCTGCATACAGAGGACCCCTCCTCTCCTCCAGCTCGTCCACAAAAAACAGCTTTCAAACACCCAATATGTGCTTACTTTCAGTCTCCAGAAGTAAGTCAGAGTGAGTCCTCTTAATGTGTTTCCCCATCTGTGTGTGAACCTGCTCAGCATAAACCACTTCCTGTTTCACATCATAGGGAAGATGCACTTTTAGAGACGGAAAGCTGACTGAGTCACTTCGATCTGTAATAATGTATTCAAAACATTATGAAACAAACTGAACAGAAGTCAATAAAGAATAGCAGACACCAGAGTCCATTAGACAACTATTAGAACTAACAGCTTAAACCAAAGTCCATTACAAAACTATTAAAAATAAAAAAATAACACAATATCGTCGATCCTTGCACGTGATTTGAGTTGAACCAAAGCTGCTTTACTCGGCTGTGAGTCTGCAGCGCCACCTGCTGGTGTGGTAAGTGACAATCAGCCCTAATGGAGCTTTAAAGAGAGCAGACAGCTGCAGCGGGAAAGCACAGCAACAAACAGAAAGCAGGAGGGAACAAGTGTGTGGACGGATGAGAGAAATCAGGTGATTATGATTGGAGGGAAAGTTTGAGGAGCTCTGGTGAAGAGGTGAAGAACAGCACGGCTCTGAGATCTACTGCTAACAGCACACAGTGTATACCAGAGTCCATTAGAAAACTATGAATCATAGTTTATACCAAAGTTTTTCTTTTAAATATTGTTTATTAGCAGATGTCATGTGAAGCTGTTGTTTTCTTGTTCTCACTGAAATGTTTAAATTAAATGAATAAACTGAAGAATTAATAACAAAACTCCTAAATTGTTGAATTAAATCAGAGTTTTAAATAGTCTGTGGTCCCAAGTCTTCCTCGTTGCCCGGGGTGACGGAATGTGGCGTGTTACCAGGGGCAACATGATGTGATGTGCTGCCGGGGGCAACAGGATGTGACGTGCTGCCTGAAGCAACATGATGCGACATGTTGCCGGGGACGACAGGGTTCCAGGGTGTCCGTGGAGCTCCGTCTCTGTCACTACGGTTCAGAGGTTTCAGGTGGCAGGTCAGCACCAGGTCTCTGAGGATAGACAGCACAGCCTGGGAACACTTTCAAAGAAGCTTTAAAGCAGCCTGGAACCCCCTGGAAGGTCTTTAAGGACTCAAGGAGGTCTCTAAAACACCCTTCAGCTAATTCAAGGAGACATATAGGTTGTTGAAGACCAAATAAGGCCTACTGACACATCCTGGAACTACTTCAAGGATCCTTGTAACATTTTAAAAAGCCTCAGAAGCCTTTTAAGGCATCCTGGAACCTTCTAAACAAAAGGTCCTTGGAAGAGTGCTCCTGAAATATCCTGATGGATACCAGAAACCTTTTAAAGGTCCCTGGGAATAGTTCATAGAATCCTGGAATGTCTTGGAAAATTTTAGGAGTCTTTAAAATCTTTCTGGAAAGTCCTTCAAGACAAATTTGAACGCCATGAAGGGACGTGTATTCTTTCAAGGACTCTCTGGGAACCTTTCAAGCACCCTGGAATCACTTTTCGACAAACCCTGAAATTTCTTAACAAAGTTTCAGGAGCCTTTAAAGGAATTATTTAAAAAGCATCCTGGAATTCTATCAAGGACTACTTGAATATTTCAACATTGCTTTCAAGTATCCTGGAACACCTTCAGTGATACCTGGAAAGTTTAAGGATTTAAGAAGCCTTCTAGTATAGCCTGACTTATTTAAGCACTCGTGGATAGGGTTAGGGTTAGGGTTAGGGTCCCAAGATGCCTGGAAACCTTGCAAAGCTTACCTGGAGTCCTGGAAGAGTTCAAAGGATCTTTAAAGACTCCTGGAACGACTTGAAGCAGCTTCAGGAGAATCAAAGAACGTCAAATAGTTTAAGTGAACTCTTTCCAGGATTCCAGGACCCTCTGATAAGACCCCAGTCTGTTTTAGAACCCCCCCGGAATGTTCCAGGCCCTGAGTTACCTGAACTGGCTGTAGCAGACTCTCTGGCTCACTGCTCTCAGCTTGGCTTCGTTCTCTCGCTTGTATCTCCGCTCAGACTCGACCGCCGCCTGCAGCTCTCGCTCCAGCAACGAGAAGTCGATGACATCCCGCTGTGACATCTTTCCCACCTGCTGATGTCAGACTTTAAACTAAACATAACACAAACACACATAACCGAATAAAACATCTGCTTTTTTTGTAACAACAACAGCATACACCAGAGTCCATAAGAAAGTTATTAATAATAACAACAACACAATGACTTGATCCTTCTTGTGATTTGACTTGAAGCTGCTTCTCTCAGCTGTGAGTCTGCAGCGCCGCCTGCTGGTCAGACTGACAACCAGCCCTGACAAAGTCCATCAGTTTACTCACGCACTTAAAGTTTTACCGGTTCTGAAAGTTCTATAGGTTTTATCAGCTGGACCGTAAAGCTGGAACCTTCTGGAACCAGAACCAGCAATTAGGAACCACTTAGACCGCACCAACAGGGCCATTATACAGACCCAGACTCCTTTAGAGAAACTACACGTTTATCAAGCTGCAGCCTCTGAACGCAGGTTGATGTTAGCTAGCTCCGGCTAACCCAGCACAGCAAACTACTGTCTTTATAGCTAGCTCCCGGTTAGCTGCTCATTTATTTTAGTAGTGTCCCACACTAACAGGTCAATTGAAGCGGTAACCACTTCAGTTAGTTTTAGTTTGAAGTTGTTAGTTTGAGCCGTTTGTGCTCAGCTCAGCGGCTAACTGGAGGTAGCTGCAGCTAACGCTAGCTCAGCAGGTGAAGGTGTTCCATTCTTACCTGTAGCAGACCTCCTCCGCGTGCTGTGGTCTCTGGTGGTTTTTAGTTTCTTTGCAACTTGTAAACAGGCCGTCTCCATGACGACGGGCAGCCGCTTGCGCCTGCGCAATGCGGGGCATTTGCTGTTGCTGCCGGCGGCCGGAGGAGGAACTGCAACACATTGCTGCTGCTGAAGAGGTCTGAAAACACACAGAACACACTGGAAAAGTTTTCTGACAAGTTTTAATGGGTTTAAACCTCACGTGATCTGTGTCCATCTGAGCTTTAACGATGCTGATAAGAGTGACTGAATGAATCATGTTGTTTTCTTATTGTGACTTTTCCTGCTGAAGGATCAATAATAATTTATCTTTACTGTATATATATTTTTTTGTTTGTTTCTTGTTTTTCTCATGCTGTTTATCATCTTTTGTCCCCATATGTGTGAACTCATTTAGCAATAAAGATGATTAATTCTTCTAACATTAACAATGCAGTAATCTGACGTTCAATCTTCTGTTCTTATTCTAGTGCGTAGGACAGTTTCATTGTTTCATGTTAAACAGTCCGGGAGTAAATAACAAAGCTTAAAACATCATTTAAAGTAATGAGTGGACTGACTTCAACAAGAACCAGGTTACAGTGCTCTATCTATCTCTGTTTGAGGATTATATTTCTCACAGTGTTTCACAACTTTTAATGGTGTAAAAAGAGGCGTTTTTTTTTTTTGCAATGTTTTGAATTAAACTGTGTGCAAACAGTGGATTTATGGCATTTTTATTTTTCCATACTCACTACTTGCACTCTGAGCTCCATGGGATTTTCCAAGAATGGTGATACAGTGCTTTTATCTCAAACATTACTTACTCCTCAGGGCGTACCCTGTTGAAGTCCTAAAAACCAGAGTTAAACCTGAAGTTAAATTACTAACATTCAGTCCTGTCTTGTCGTACAGAACTCGGGTGGTTTTTCTGTCTCAGTACATGTAATGGGGTCAGTGATGCAGCAGTGGTTGTGGGTCAAATATATATGCATTATTGCATTTGTAATATATAATATACCATATACATTTGTTATTATATGTATTTCTATAATTACACAAAGTTTGGTCTGCCTCTTAGTTGTGTGGAACCTTTGCTGGGGGGCCCCTGTACCCCTATGTACACTTTTAGCCCCCCACCCTGTCCTATAACTGAGCTTTTCCCGCCAACACATGAACAAAAGGGGAGAGCCCTTTTGTTCATGTGTTCTGTACAAGAGGTAAGAGACTGTGCTGTTGTAATTTCTGTGTTTTAATGTAATATAATTATACTTGTGGGGTCACTTTCCCAGTCTAATACATTATATTAGATTTTTTTTTTTTGCTTGTACTATTTTTTTTTAGTTTTTTTAGTTTTTAGTCTTTCAAATGCAAAAGTGGAACAGATGCAGGTATTGTTCATGTCTCAGACTGATGGCTTTAATATGAATCCAACCACCAGTTAACTGGACTAATAAAAAGACCCAAACACTGTCATACAGATAAGCTTTATTTTTAATAAAAGTCAGTAAAATACCCTCTTATGTACAGAAATTAACCTGTTATATTCTCCATGGTAACTTTGTTCAATATCTGTAATACGTATAAATTTAGTCCTATAAAAACATACAGCATTGTACAGATGACAGCAGGACACAAACATCAACAGTAAAAAAAAAAAAAAAAAATCCTGTAAAATTCATCCCTTAAAAACATTTTAAAATTTCTGTAAATCCTGTTGTTTTCTGTGTTTCAGTCCCTCGGGTACTGGGTCCCCTCACCTTTCTATCAGATATTCTTAAGTGTTAAAGATAAGTTTTAATATTTCTGTAAATCCTTTTGTTCACTCTCCTTGATCAAGTCTGAAGTTTCTCAGGGAAATGTACTTTGCCCTCTAAACTTTTGATGAGACTTTTTTTAGATTCAGAGATAGACTTCAACGTGTCTGGGAGTTTGTTTTTTTTTTCCTTTTTTGTTCTCAGCAGGTCACGGAGTCCCTCAGGAAAACATCCTGGGTCCTCAAACTTTCCATTAGATTTCAAGATACATTTTATTATCTCTTGAATCCTTTTGTCCTCAGAGAGTCATGAATTTCCTCAGAGAAACATACATGGTCCTGTAACCCTTTATTACATATAACTTTAAACATTTCCTTAAATCCTTTAGGTCTCTACCTTTGATAAGGTGTGGAGTTCCTCTGGGAAAGATACTTGGTCCTCTTAGCTTCCTACGGGACCTCATTCAGATATAAACACAGACTTTAGTATTTACAAAATATCTCTTGCACAGAGTCACATGTTTCAGATCCTTTTCGAAATGTGTCTAGCCTAGCTTAGCACAAACATAGAACTTTAAAACAACTCTTATTTCACTAGCCCCAGGCTACACATGACTGATTATCTGGTCTTTAATACGATAAAGGTCTTGTTCTTTTCAAACTGGCTTGGAGAATTGTTTTTATGTGCAAAAACTTTTCATTTTCAACTGCCCAGATGGATATAAAATCTGGGGACAACAATAAAATCAAGGGTCAGTGTCAAAATATAACCACAAATATAAAATAAAGTCAAAATAAAGTCACATTTTGTAGTATAAAAAAATGGAAACACTTTACTTTAAAGCTAATATCTTAGAAAGTTTCTTGATCGTTTTCTAACAATTAGCTGTAAATAAGAGCTTGGTGCTAATTATGGGGCAATAGAGAAAAGCTTATGCAGTTATTAAGTACCTGCTGTTGTATCCGAATTTTTATGAATGAAACTAGTAGATGTGTCATCTTTGAAGTGGAAAATAGTTGAGAAACTGATTTTAGCGTCCATCACATGTTTTTAAAAAAGACAAAAAAACAAAAACAAAAAAACATGAACCATAGCTGGTACAGTCACCTGGACAACCACCAAGAATTTACAATAAACTGATGGTGTCAGTTTAACAGCTAGTTTTCACAATACTAAGCTAAACTAAACTAAGCTAAACTAAACTAAACTAAACTAAACTAAACTAAACAAAAACATAATGACTAGTTTGTTCTTCCAGATACATCCAGCAGGTACTTAATAACTGCAGTATTTATAGTCTGAATCTGTTGTTCTGAGGTTCTGTGAGTGAATGTTTTTGGTGTTCTCAGGCCCACATTCCAAGATTTCAAGATTTGACTTCAAACCATCCCTTTTAGTTTTTATAGTGAATAAAACTCCATGTTGTGTTTGTCCAGGATATGTAAATCCAAAATCTGAAGTCTTTCCATGGAAAGTGAATAAATCCTGTTTGGATCAAGCTGTTCTTTCGGTTCAGGGGGGGTTCTCCTCTGAGATGTGTGCTCTTCAGCTCTTGGAGAACCTCCAGATATCAAAATATGTCAAAGTTTGATGTCTTTGAAATCAAACAGTGGTAGAACCAGTTGTAGATGGTTCCAGTTGCACATGGGTCTGTTCAGGCCTGGTGGTGATGGTCCATGTTCAACTCGAATGTCCACAGATTTTTTTTTTTTTTTTTTTAAAGAGGAAGATGGATCTGGAGTTCCACAAAGTTCCAAACTTAACCAAAACTTTTGAGATATTTGGTTTGGGTTTTCATTTGGGTACAAAGCAGGTGTGATCTGTTTTGTCAGCTGCTTTGAAACCAGTTCAGGAGATTCTGTTTGGGTTCGTAGTACTGCATGGCTCTAGAAAAACCTGGAAATGACTGGATCAGTTTGTTCTCTAAGTAAAACATTTGTATTATTTAGTACTTGGTTGTTAGCAAAGGGCGGGTCCAGGTCCTGAACCCAAGAAGATGCATGTCCAAAATGTTAAAGGAGATAGGGAGAACAGGAGATGAGTTGAGGTCCAGAGTTCTTCATGTCTCCTAAAGGTTCCATACCTTGTTCTGCTCAAAAGGAAATATTTGGGAGTTAAAAGTTAATGTGTTTGGTTGTTTGTTTGTTGAAGCAAAGATTCTGGTTTTGTTTGGTCTGTTTCTTAGAATAGAAGTTTTAGGTTCAGAAACAGTGCAGGATTTTAGATGGCTGCCCCCTGAGGTTTTACTTTAAGGCGCAGTGGTTAAAGGGGTGTAGTCTAGCAAACAGGTTCCATGTTTGATCCTTTTTTAACCGAATTTTTGGATCCAGACCTTCCAGAAATATCTGCAACTTGTTTGGGAGCTTTTAGCAAGAATCTTGTTTGGTCTTTTTTCTTAAAAGAAAGGAACGGATGTAGGTTGAGTTGTTCTAAACAGTTCTACCCAGATCATTTAGGTCACAGTAATTAGAGAAGGACTAGAAGTTGTCAGATCTTTCTAAAAGTAAGAAAATTTAGAAAAGGTCTTTTGTTTGGTCTGTTTCCCTCAAAAACAAGTGAGGCGGAATGTCAATTTTTCAGAACCAGTACAGGATTGTAGGTGGGTCCACTCTTGAAGGCACAGTGGTTCGAGGTCCAGCATGATCTGCTTCAAGTTGGATGTGAATTTAAATGTTCACAGACCTTTTTATAAAAGGAGATGATGTTTGGATCTGGAGAGCTGCACAAGTTCTTGCCTGCGTTGAGATGATTTTAAGGTGCCAGGAAAATATGTTCCTTTGGTCGGTTGCCTTGAAGCTTCTGTCCAGGGTTTTAGGTGGTTCCACAAGGTTCAACTTGGATCATTTAAATCACCGAGGTAAGCAAGATGTACAGTTTCTTGAATGTTTGCTATCGGTGTTTTGTTTGGTCTTTTCCCATAAAAACAAAGTCAGGCTGCTGGTTGAAGTTTCAAAACCAGCACAAGGTTTGAGATGGTTCCATTCAGGTTCTACCTGGATCATTTTAGTCACAGTGGTTAGAAAGGAACATCATGTAATCAGCAGATTCAGTCCCATGTGAACCTGCTTTGAAGGAATGGTAAAGTTTCCAAAGGATGTTGGAAGGTTTTTGGCAGATCCAATGAAAGGCCTCCATGAGGTCCTCAGAGGGTTCTTGAAGGTCACAGAGGAGCTCCAGGCGGTTCCTCCTAGCTCTGGGAGAAGACGGTCTGAAACTCGTTGAGCATGAGCTCTACTATCTGGCTCTGGAACACCATGTGGATCGTCATGTTGGCCGACTCAGTCTGAGGCCGAAGCAGCGTGGGGCCGAACACGATGGCGACGCTCTGAACTGACATCCGGTTGGACTCCTTGTGTTCGATCACTCTGGAGACAAATAGAAAAGTGTTGCCATTATTTCAAAGCAGACAGATTTGTGTGTGAGCTCTGGTCCAGTTGAGTCCAGCAGATTTAATTTGTTTAACTTTGTGTGGAGTCAAGCGTAGGATCATAATTACCCCTCAAGTAACAAACTAACATAGAAAAGAAGTCCAGTTGTGTGTTATGTTGGGACTTGCTGTCTGTCACTGGTTAGGAAAAAGTATTGAACAAACTAGTCCTGGATCTCTCAGACAGACCAGGGTCTGGTTGTTTATGTTAGTACTTGTGAGTCTTCATGTCAGTCTTGGGTATTTAGGGTAGTCCTACATTTTTAGATTAGTCCCAGTTGTTTTTATTAGTCCTGGGTCTTAAAGTCAGTCCTAGGTCTTTAGCTCAGTCCTGGTTAGTTAGTCCTGTATCTTTAGGTTAGTTCTGGGTCTCTGGGTCAATCATGGTTCTTCATTCCTGGGTGTTTAAGTTAGTCCTAGCTGGTTCATCAAGTGTTCATTAGGTTAGTCCTGGGTCTTTAGGTCTTTCATTCCATCGTGGTTGTTTATGTTAGTCCTGCATCTTTAGATCAGTCCTGGTTGGTCATTCCTGGATCTTTTGGTTAGTCCTGGGTTTCAGCTGAAGCCTAAACATGATCTCACCTGCGCAGGTGTTTGAACAGCAGCTCCATGGTGTCATGGTTGGGCAGAGGCAGAGTCCGGACCAGGTCCTTCATGTAGGAGACTCTGAGAGTGTAGTCTGGAACCTCTGCAGGAACCAAACACAAAGAGCTGTCATCACAACGACAACACAAACACAGGAGGAATCTTTGGGGTTCGTAAATACTGCAGCATGTGTCTCCATGTGTGACTGAAACATGCTCCTGCTGCTAACATCACGTCATCACATTGTGTTTTCTGATCACTGTGTATTGTGGTTATTGTGTACTGACGGATGGCGGCGATAAACTTGTCGAAGCAGCTGAAGGGGAACAGCGGTTCTGGAAGTTCTCTAAGGAAGAGCTTCAGAGCTCCGGTGATGACGTGGATCTCCTCCCACTGTCCGTCCTCCAGATCCAGCTGCTCCTCTGAGGCATCACAGAAGAAGAAACAACATCAGTTGGTCCAAAACACCTTCAGCAGATTCTACTGATTCTTTGGGATCCCAACTCATTGGCCCGTATCCCTCTAAATGCTGAACAGGTTATTGATCATGCAGCCTGTTTACAGGATTTGATCCATGATTTGGTTATTGACCAGCAGCTGTGGGTCAGAGCGGCGGTTTGTTACCGTGATCGGCTTTATGTCGTAGTTTCTGGATCACAGCGAGGTTCCCACTCACTCTGTAGATCCCGTCAACATCCAGACCTGCAACCAGACAGTCAGGTCAGATTCAGACAACACAAGAAACACAAGAACACTCTGTGATCAGAGAGCAGATGGAATTCACATCTGTGAGAGGAACCAAAGGTCTGACTGCTATCAGTGCTTTCAGCACTACAGGCCTTTTTCATATAGAAAGTCTGAGTTCTGCCCTGATCCAATCAGGAAACATGTCTGGTCTTCACATTCGGACAAAGTCAGAGCCCAGTAGATCCATCACAGGTTCTCTGAACATCAATTCACTGACTGATCATGTCAGCTGTGCTTCGAATTGAATTTATTACAAAACATCAGAATTTAAAAGTCTGTGTCAACTGTGTTTTGAATCAGCAATTTTGAGTCATTTTGGACAATTTCAATGAATTTTGCACAGTTCTCCAGTCATTTTGGTTAATATTCTAATTAATTTTGAACATTTTAAGTGATGTTGGACAGGATTTGAGTCATTGTTGACAAATTTGAAATAATTTAGGATAGTTTTAAATTGTTTGTAAAAAAAAAAAACCTTTGATTTTAAAGTCAGAACTTTTTTCTGGCTTTTTAATCGTAGATAAATTCTTTGGTTCATTTCTTATGACGATAATCCTCAGCTGCAGATCTCACTCATTCAGTTTTTATCATTATGTCTGAGCTGTCAGAGTTCATCATGTCTGCTAGTTGTATTCAAGTGTTCACCTCTCCTCTCCACCGTTTTGATGCATTTCTCCACAAACTTGGGGATGGTGGTGTTTTCTCGGTGGCACAGAGTGTCCAGGTGGCAGCCAAACACGTTATCTGAAACACAGGGACACAGAAACACTGAAGAAACCTGCACTCGAGGTCAAAAAAGGCTGATATGGGCATTATATTTTAAACAACCTGTAAGGTATACATGGATAGTACCCATTTCACCTTGGACAACCAGCCAACCATAATTAGTGAAAGACAACACCTATTTTTTAGTAAGTTGGATGGAATAATTGTTTACTGGGGCTCAGTGGCCAACAGGGGCAACTATATCCCTGTTCTGAGGGCCTTCTAGTTTATATATAATATGTGTCTCACCTGATTCTTTATCTACAACACCTTTTGTATATTTAGTGAAGCCATGCAAAGTTTTACCTTCCTGCTATGAATAATTTCCAAGTTACAGGCGCTTGAAGAACATAGAGGTGGCTCTAAAAACTGCAACCAAATCAGTTTTACATCCATATAACCAACTTCAAGTCAGAGCAAGTTACAGCAATTGAATCTCATTTATTATTATTGTATAGTTTATATCTGTGTTTCTGTCTGATGATATTTATATCATTATTATACTTTATTGGTTTTCCTTTTTTCTAAATACCCTTTATTAAAAATATACAAGGAAAAAAACTGCACAACCTCATGGGAAATTAAGACTAAAGAACTGACTTTAATTATTGAAAAATATGATTTATTTCTGATTATAGTTAGTGTTTCAAGATATTAAATACTGCTTAATATTTCATTATTAAGTGCAGCTTTACTTCAGTACTTAAGTATCTTCTCCAGTATTATTTCTAATATTAAATAGGTTTTCTGTTCTTCACTGCATTTATTCTCATGTTTTAGAACAGGAAGTGGTATAGTTCTGGCTCTGGTTCTGACCTCTGATGTATCCTTTCTCTTTGACGCTTTGCAGCGTCGGCCTCCGCTGGAGGAAACGCCTCAGTTTGGTCCGAACTCGCCGCTGCTCAGAGTCAGCTCCCGACGAATTCCTGTTGGCTGGACGAGGAAGAAGAAGGAGAAGAAGCTGCTTTACTTTACAGTTGATTCAAAAAGACAAACTGTGACAAACACAGGAATGGAACCAGTCAGTGTTCTAAAAGAACTGAGAAGAACTTTATCTTTACTGTCCTTCAGTCAGTTTCTCTGTCAAAGCCATTTAAAAACGCTGTTAAATCAAAATCATCACTAGCTCAGACATTAAAAGTTTCCACTCGTTTCCACTGATTTTACACTCAGAGTCATTGTTAAAACTAATTTTTAAATTCATTTTGGACACATTCTGTCATTTTGAGTCTTTTGGATGAATTCTGAATCAGGCTAAAGGTTCTACTGAGAACAAACAGCTGAACCTGCTGCTCATGTTTTCACTGACTCAAACCTGAAAGCTGACTGAGTCCATCTAGTTTCTGGAGCTTTGGACAGAACAACATGTTCTTCTTTACTCACATGTTCTCTTTCTGTCTTTGTCCTCTTTGTCTGAAGCTTCATCCTCGTCCTCAGAGAGATGATCCAGCTCCTGAAACACAAGCTGTGTTTGTGAATGAATGAATGAATGAATGAATGAATGAATGAATGAATGAATGAATGAATGAATGTGTGTGTTGTGCTGTGTTACCAGCTGTCTGATTGTGTCCTGCATGACTTTCAGCCAATCACTGATGATGCTCTCGGTGTCGTACTGCATCAGGTACTCACATCCCTGCCGAGTCTTCAGCTGCACACAGACACACAAGCACCACAGTGACACACAGCACACACCGAGGTCAGACACGACACAACAACTCCGATGTGATGTCGGAGTAACCATGACAACAACAACACTGTCAGAAAGACGCTTCATTACACAGAAGTCCATGTAACCATAGCAACCATGATAACAGCGACAGAGCAAATGATGAGGGTAACTGTAACCGTAGTAACAGAAATACGAAACCCCTGACCTCTACTGTAACCACGGCAACAGAGATGCGGAACCCCTGAAGCCTAGTGCAACCATGGCAACAGATGTAAGACTTCCACAGCGGGCTGTTACCATGGTAACGGAGGCTGTGTAGAACAGCGGTCTCCAACCTTTTTTGCACTACGAATTTTCTACAGACCGGTCATTGTGCACATAACAAAAAATATTGGTTTTTTTTCTCATAAAAAGTTTCATAAACGAATAAAATTACTTGCTAAATATGTGTTTACTTTTTCTTCTGTCTCAGCATCGAGTCTTTCCCACTGTCACACTTCCCAAGTGACGGGAAGACGAGCTGGTCATTTTTCAAAATAAATCGCCCTACAGACTGAAAAATAAAACAATAAAACATTTGTATTCTTTCTGTGCGGCCCGGTATCAAATGACCCACAGCCCGGTACCAAATGACCCACGGCCCGGTACCAGTCCACAGCCCGGTGGTTGGGGACTGCTGGTGTAGAAAAGTGTACCTCGAGAACATTCTTCTTGGATGATTTGTCTTTGGAGGCCCAGCCCACTGTTGAACCTCTGAGCTCGACGGTGTATTCAGGAACAATCTGTGACGCTTTACTCTGAGAATACAGAAGATATCTTCATCATCATCATCATCATCATCATCATCATCATCATCATCATCACTGTCTGTTGCTGCTTTTTGTATATTTTCAGGATTTCCGTTCATGGAAAGTGATTGCCTCTGATTATTATTTCTGATTACCTGAAACCAATCACATCAACTTACTGCTATTTATACAGAACATTTAGATCAACAGGTGTGAAACCAAAGTAACTTCTAGCAGAGAAATTTAGGTTTAAGTTTCTAAGTTTAAATATTGAAGATATGACTCTATGATGTTGTTTAAGATGTGAATTTACCTGAATAATTTACACAGTAAGAATTAGAACCACACAAAATAAATACCAAATCCAAATTCACCAGATTTATATGGTATCTATGAATTATGAAGATTAACCTTTAAAATACCTAAAAACCCAATAAATCCAAATATTGACTGTGAACTCGCTCTGTTTTTAGTGGGTTTTTTTAAAAATTTGTATTTATATAAAAAAGGATTTGATTTTCTTATCCATCATGATGTTTTGCATTAATTCAAACATTTGCTTGTCTTATACCATAATATGCTGCAAGATCTTCGACAACACATGTGAGTCATTTACTGTCAATAACTCAAGCAGGATTTTCACAGTGAACCTGTTTTATTAGATTATTTGACGCCTTACTAACCTGACTCTGTTCTGCTTGTGGAACCAGTTATTAGTTTTAGGGATTAAAAACACTGTGTTAATGTTTGTGGTATTATTTGATAGTTTTTATATTAAAAGGGCTGCAAGTAACACCCAAAATAACTTTCCTGATCAGTTTATCTGATTTAAATTCTCAATGTGAAGACTGAATTGCTGCTTTAAGTAAAATAAAACCAGCACTGTGAAGGGACGTTCTGCAGAGGTTCTTACAGCATTCCCAGTGGGGGCAGATTTGGGGTCTTTGTGGAAAGTGAGGATCCCGCCGTGGAGGACGGTCCAGGACTGACTCCAGTTCTTCCTGAGGAGAACAGACACGGTTACCTGCAGCTATCAGGTCAAGTCCAGATCCTGCTGTAGAAACAGAGCTGCTGATCTCACCTGATCTTCTTGCCGTTATCGACTACTTTGGTCTTGTTGATGATTCCCGCTTTCTCCAGCAGGAGGCTCTGCAGAGACAGACACACAGGTGAGCTGATGGACAGGTGAAATACGACTCCTCCGTAAACAGGGAGAGGTTCTACCTTCAGGCTGTTATCCACCTCTGCACACCTGAACACATTTACTCTCTAAAGTCACAGTCGTCACTACAAACGTCTGATCTGCAGGTTCAGTCTGAGTCAGTTCACACAGCAGTGATCCTCAGGTTCTGCTCAGTTTGTGTCCCCAGAAAGTTCCTGTAAGCGTCTATTTATGGATGTATCCATGTCTCCAACGAAAAATACAGTCTTTGGTCGACATTTGACCAACTTTTGATCCTCTGACATCAGTAGAATTTGGTGTGTGTTGAAGTTTGGCAAGAGAAGGTTCCAGTGTTTAGATAGTTTGACTAAATGTTGACGTGGACTCATTGGTAGGAAACAAAAACTGGTGTTCATGGGGGTCTATATGTTGTTATTATATGTGTGAAGTTACAAGCTGCTTCTATGTTGAACTTTAACAACACATGAGGCTGATTACATCCATAGACACTTACAGGAACTTCCGAGGGCCACAGTACGGGTGTGGATAAAAAATATATAAATCTTCTTCCATTTTTAAGATCCAACAATCAACAATGTGTCCTCTGCTGGTTCCATTCAATCATTAGATCTGCTGGAAACCATTCTGTCCGTGTTCTTACCATGGCTGTGCTGTAGGACTTACATCTCTGGAGATATTGAAACTTGAAAATGGCCTCACAGGTTTATTTGAAGATGAAAATAGAAAAATTCTTAAGTCTGAATAAATGAAAATCTCTAAATTCAGCCAAAATATTTGACAGAACTCAGTTTTTGGATCCCAAAAAAAAAAAAAAATGAAGTTTTGTTTTCACTAGATTCATTAAAATTATTCTTCTAGATTCTATTTAAATGTTTTCTGATCGACAGAGAAACCTGATTTGGTTTTAAATGTTTTTAGCAGGAACCTTGTGACATTTTGGAAGTTCATCCATCGACCTGCTCCCTCCTGGAAACATTCTCAAATACCTGAGAAACTTTCCAGGAACTGGGGAACCTTGAGCCACCAGAGGATCTGTACTGCTTATTAAAGAACATCTAGAACGTTCTCAGAGGCACACAGAACCTCCTACAGCATCATGAAGCACTTCTTGAACAGCTGAACGTCCCAAATCAACCTCCTGAGAAGTACAGAGCTAAAAATTCAATCTGTGCTAGAACCACCAGCAGAACCACCAGCAGAACCCAACCAGCACTGGGAGGAGGAGCGTTAGTGGAGCAACACTGAGAAACCTTCTGGGCAGTAAAACTCTGTCTAAAGGATCTCAGACTTAAGTCGCTGCTACAGCTGTGGATTATTTTGTGGAGGAATCGATCAGCTGTTTGGGTTCTAAAATGTCCGAAAATGGTGAAAATGTAGATCAGTGTTTCCTCAAATGCCTTTTTTTTGTAAGATATTCATTTTACTGTTATAGAGGAGGACAGAAACCAGAAAATATTGACATAAAAGAAGCTGCAATCACAGAATTTAGACTGTTTTTTTTTTTTTTAGAAATTACTCAAACTGATACATCCACTATCAAAACAGTTGGAGATCAGTTTAAACGTTGACAGCTAATTGATTAATCTTTAATCGCTGCGACTCTGTATTACTGGGGAACCACAGCAGGAGGCGCTGTGTGCCTGAAACTGCCCAAAAAGTTCCCAGAAGAAGTCAGATGTTAGTAAAACCAGTTGCTGTGACACGTTTCCGTGGAAACACCCGTTAATGTGCCACCAGACACCCGACAGCCGATCTGGACCTACATGGTTGGAGCCTGTGCTCCGATTGGACAGATTCCTCTTCAGTCTGTACCTATCAGAGAACTTGGTGATGGAGAACAGGATGACATCACGGGATGAATGAATGAATGAATGAATGAATGAATGAATGACTGAATGAAGAGAAGATGTGAATGTGATTACAGGAAGCAGTGGACAGCGGAGTGTTACCTGCGGACTGTCGGGGGAGGGTCTTCTGTTGGAAAGCTCCGTGACATCTGAGAAGTTCCTGCGGTGGCTCATAGAGAACGTCTGCAACACGAGGTTCTAAAATCAGTTCTTACAGACAGAAGGTTCATGTCGGAACAAACTGACGCTGTTTCGAAAGAGTAGATCAGTTTAGAAAGATCAGAAAAAAGAGGATAAAATCACCTGAAATCAGCCGACCGACACAAACTAAACTCTTCACTGGCTGAACGTCTGCTTATCCACAGACGCTGCAGTTTACAGATGTTCCCCAAACGATTAGGGAACATCTGTAACCTGCAGGGTCTACTGTTGATTGTGAGGCATTTAGGGAACATCTGAAAACTGCAGCTGTGCACCCAGTGAGGAGTTTTGGTTCAGTTTAATTTATATTCGGCCTCCAGGAAATGCTCTGAATGCAGATGATTGTTTTTATTCTGATGCAGATTTAAACAGTGACATGAGAAGTAAAAGTTTGTTAGATGTGAAAATCTTCTGTCCCTAAAACCACTGAATTATCCTGATAAATAATTGTGGTTTTCATGCTGTGGAGCTATGATTTGTGTGGCTTACATCTTCGGCCACACTGTGTCTCCAGTTCCTGACCTGCAGCACCGGACCCTCCTCAGACACTCCATTTCCCATCATCCTCTGGGGCAAATGCAGCAGCTGCAACACGAAACAAACCAATGATCAGATAAGACCTTCAGGATTGCCAGGTTTTTATTAAACCAACTTGACCGATTCGTTGATCACCTCCTGCTGCCTCCACTGGGAGCCGGTCGGGTCTTTCGGGTCCAGCTGAGCTCTTGGTATCACACTTACATGCTGCTGAGGATTCTGGGAAAAGAATCAGGCACAAACTGGAGGTTAAACCTGGAAAAGAAGGATTTCTATCAGGCATTGGCCCCCCTTCTGGCCCAGTTTGTACCGTTTAGGGTGCCTTAAGCACATGACTTCGCCTGGTTCTAACTTGGTTTTGTCCTGGTTTTTGACCTTTCTTTCACCTGGTTTTTGGCCCATTCTGACCTGGTTTTGACAAATTTTTTATTTTTTTTTTAGCACCTTTCTAACCTTTTTCCAAACAGTTTCTAAGCTTGTTTCAACCTGGTTCTGACCTGGATTTGGCCTAGTTTATTGACCTGGTTTTGACCTTTTCACAGCCTGAGTTGTTCTAGCTTCTGGACCATTTCGGACCCGATTTCTCCCAGTTATTGGCCCCTTTCTTACATGATTTAAACCTGGCTCTAACCTGGTTTCAGTCTAATTCTAACCTGGTTTTGACTTGATTTTTGACATCTTCCTAACCTAGTTACTAACAATTTTGGCCCATTTTAACCTGGTTCTGACCTGGTTTCAGTCTAATTCTAACCTGGTTTTGACTTGATTTTTGACATCTTCCTAACCTAGTTACTAACAATTTTGGCCCATTTTAACCTGGTTCTGACCTGGTTTTGGCCTAGTTTTTGACCTTTTTCCAGCCTGGTTTGTACAAAGATGACCGTATTTTGATTACTGAAAACCAGGACACTCGGCCCAGCAAATGATACTCGAAGTTCACTCAAAGATGCCTTATAATTTCAATACATTTAAAGTACGCCTCCTCCAGGACAGGACCAGGACAATTTCATCACTTTATAAAAAACAACCAGGACGGCCAGGACAGGACATGAAAACAGGACATGTCCTGGGAAAACAGGGCGTTTGGTCACCCTAGTTTGTACCAGTCTTTGGCCTGTTTCTGACCTGGCACCTAACAGCTTAGGTTTAAACTTGGTCCTGGCCTGGTTTATGGCCTTATGCCTGTCGGGTTTCTACCAGTTTTCATCCTGTTGTGATTATTCTGGGCAGACTCCAGGTGTTGCTGGGACTAATCCATGAAAACAGCCTGAGCTCGGGGTTCACAGTTGTACCGTTGTGAAGACGTTGTTGTCGTTCTCTACGGGATAATCTTCTTCAGGCAGCGGAGGCTTAAAGGAACCAAAGAACCACAAGAACAGAGTCAGCAAAGAAAAATCACCAGGTCTAATTTCATAAAACTGTCTAAAATAATCCTCTTTATCTTAAACTAGGTCTTTTCCGGACTAATCGTACCGGCACATTGTCCCGGTTGGATCCTGGAGGCGAGGAGGGGGACAGCGGCTCCGGCAACGCCCAGGATGTGGCTCCTGTGGTGGGGTTGTAGTAGTAGAACCTTCCTGAGACTTCATCCACCAGCTGCTCCCAGACACAAGAACCCTGAGGAGGCATGTTAAACTGCTGTGAGGAGGCGTCTTAATCTGCTGTGAGGAGGCGGTTTTGTCCACTGTCAGAGGTGTTTCTTACCTGAGAGGAGGCGGGGGACAGCAGAGGGGAGCCCAGCGGTCCTCTGGTCTGGTTCTGGTCTCCAGTCGGTGATGCTGGGCTTCTGTGTGGGTCGGACCAGGTGGTCTGTCTGGTGAGTGGATGGTAGTAAAACACCTTCCCACTGTCCTGGTCAGTGTGGGCCTAAACAACCAGGCAAGAACTTCATGAACCAACACTTCCAGGCGCTATTTCAGATGTATTCTGAGGAAAATGTCAAACTTTAAACTCAGGTTTCTGACTATAAATGCTGAGATTCTCCAATTAATCTCAGGTTTCCGAGAATAAAAGAAATCAGAGCGTCAATACATTTTCATGGTGGCGCTGATTAGAGATGTTCAGGTTTGTGAAGATGAGAAAACAACCTTAATAAAGTGAAATATCTCTGCATATTGTCTTGCTGACTGCTGCTACACGTCGTATAGATATTTAGATGTTTTGCTGATATATGATTTGACTTGTTCTTATCCTGTAATCATGTTTTTCTGTCTTGGTTTCAGTCTTTAAGCTCTTTGTTATTTTTCTCTGCTGGTCTGATTTCATTTTAGTTTGTATTTTTACCAGTTTTTATTTATTTTATTAACCTTTATTTAACCAGGAAGTCCCACTGAGATTAGAAATCTCTTTTACAAGGGAGACCTGGCCAAGGTAGCAGCCATATATAGTCAAAATGTAAAGCAGCTACATGACACACAAATGAATAATGAACAATAAAACAATAAAACAGACCGACAGCTGTTCAAGGACAGCGGCCTGTCAACAAACACAGTGACATTCCTCTTTTACTGTAACCTTTGTGATGCTCTTAAACGCATTAATGGATGTGAATGTTTCTAGTTTACCATGGTGCATGATAGGAGAACACTGTTTTACCGAAATCTGTTTAAATCCAGGGGACATTCAAAAGTTTGAGGCACGTAGATGTTAACTACTAGAGCTGATAGTGAGAAGCGTGCTGAGGTGTTCTGGGAGTTTTCCCAGCAGAGCTTTATAGATGAACCAGTGTTGACGTCTACGAATGCTTAGCGATGTCCAGCCAACCAGATCATAAAGAACACAGCATCTGAGATGAAGCGCAGTGAAGCGTGACACTGAATCAGGTCTCTTTAAGGTGGAGGAGGCTGCATCAATCACAGATAGAAAGGTGTTTTCCACAAGTCTTTTCTTTGCAGAGAATGTGAAGCATGTTCTATGTCTAAAATAAAAGCCAATCTTCAATTTGAGTTTCTTCATTAAATTAGAGATATGTACATTAAATTAAAACTTTTCATCAACCCATGTTCCCAGGTACTTACAGGAGGACACCCTCTCAATCAAAGAACCATCAGATGGCACTGTTCATGAACGTGCATCTGTTTTAAAATTGCTACACAAACGCTATGATTATCTGGAGTTTAGTTTTTCAATTCAATTCAAATAACTTTATTTATGTCCTAGGGGCAACTCAAAAGCTCACTGAGTATTTAATGCAAAGACATAAAGTCCATCCATCCATTATCTATACACCACTTAATCCTCACTAGGGTCGTGGGGGGCTGGAGTCTATCCCAGCTGACTCAGGGTGAAGGCAGGAGACACCCTGGACAGGTCACCAGTCTGTCACAGGGCTACACTTAGAGACAGACAACCACTAAACTAAAAATAAAATAAAATAAAATAAAATAAAGTTGGGAACAACAGCTGCCCTCCTTCTTTCAGTCCGACAGCCTGGACGTCCAGAGGGGAGCAGAGAACAGCGTGTGATGGGTTATGATGGTGTGATGTGATTTTAGTTTTTGTATTTCTTAGATTAGACAACCTAAAAAAGTAAATTGGATTTTCTATGCATTGACTTTCATTTAGTCTTTCCTTGTCTCTCAACATGATTTTGAAATTAAACAAATACAGATAAACTGAAGCTAATCAGCTGAGTTCTGCCGCGGTGCCAATTTAATCTCACATCATTTTTACATCTTCCTTTACTGTAATAAAGTTTTCTGTCAGTTTCAGTAGCGAAGCGTCGCCTGTTTCTCAGTAACACTTGAGCTTTAACTGATCATCCGATGGAACAAACCTGCCGAGCTCCGGTTTCACCTGATCAAACTTTAATCACCTGCAGAGCCGCAGAGAAACCAGCAGACAGAATCCAAACTGAGTCTTATTTCGGTTTAACCTCCCACTTCAGCTTCTCTCGGTTATTTCATTTCTCCTGTTTACTGCAGGATCAGTCAGATCAGCTGATTCTTTATCTACAATAACTTTGTTATATTTAAAGAAGCAAAGTTTGACCTTCATACTATGAATATTTTCACAGTTACAGGCCCTTGAAGTTCATACACTTTTTAATGGACTTTTTCCATCATTTCTGAGCTTCATGACGTGAAATTTTTAGGGCTGAAAAACACATTTGATTTCTGTTAAAAACTGCAAAGAAATCAGTTTTCCATCCACTCGAGGTGTCACAATCTAAACACTAAAGTAGATTTGTGTTCATTTTCTCTATAACCAACTTTGAGCATCCATATTATGGGATGTATCACAGTCTGAACAGGTGACCTTACCTGCCATCCGTCCTGTGGGCTGACAGGGGAGGCGGGGCTTAACATTCCGGAGGAGGAGCCCGACGTAGAGGGGGTGTGGCCTGTGGATGGAGCGGGGTCATGCGGAGGAGGGGAGGGCAGGGCGGGGCCGGGAACAGACAGGTGAATCGTTTTCTTCAGGGGGGAGACGTTGGCGTAGATGGGCGCGTTGGGGCCGAGCGAGCTGCTGTCCTGCAGGGAGAGAGAGAGAGAGTCTTAACGGGTCGCTGCACCTCAACAGATGACTTTAATTTATTAGTAATTATTTACAGCTAGCAGTTTCAACGACGCATGTTGTCGCTTTATTTTTTTAATATTAATGTGCGAAGATGTTACTGATCAGCTTGGAGAGAAAGTTGTATCATATTTTTACTAGGGGTGGGACTTTAATGTGCTAATAACGCGTCAAAGTCCCACCCCAATATACTTTAAAGCGTTACTTACGAATTAACGAAAAATTAATGCATTTAATCGCAGTTTGCATCCACACAACACAGAACGTTTGTCAGCGCCCAATTTCATGGTCCACCGATGCACAAGATGCGTCAGCGTTACGCTAACAACAACAAACATGGAGAATGGACTAGCGGTCCTGGATAGCGACAATTTTTTATCGCGTTATTTTGGTTGTAATTAATTAATCGTAATTAACGCGTTGAAGTCCCAGCCCTAATTTTGACCTTTTACTCACTGGGTTGCAGTTTTTCAGTTGTTTTAACTTGCTGTTTATTTGCATTTTGTACCGTCTCTGTGGCTTTCAGTGGCTGCTGTTGACTAATTGTTTACTTTGTTGCTTTTTTAAAAACTTGTTTATTTACTTGCTGTTTCTGACTCACTGTTCACTTGTGTTTTTTCTTGCCGTCTTTTTTTTACCAGCCGTTTCTTGCTTGTTTCTCACTCTTTGTCGTCTCTCACTAACTGTTTTTCAGTTTATTTGTGCCTCCAGCGTTTTCAGTCACTGGTTGGTTCCGTTGGTTAGAAACAGATTATAGTTCGGATAAAAATCAACCTGTTCACGCTACAAAGCTCCATTTTTTATTTTGTTTTTGTTTCCACTGGAGATTTCACATTTGATTGTTCATTCGGTTATCAGTACGACTTCATGTGTGATCAGAAACGATGACAACATGTCAGCTGGATAACGACTGATTATTGATCATCGATCACAGCGAGGGACATGCTGATCTGCTGCTGCACAGCTCCAGCTTCATGTTCATCAACAACAAAATCTGATTCTGGCGACTGCAGCAGGAAGAAACTCCACCCAGGTTCTGTAAACACACAACCACACACACTGTAGCACACACGCAGACCCACAAACTGTAACACACACATTCAGCCATTCATCGTTTCTCATAGTTTCACCCGAAAGATGCTTAAAATCAAATTTATCCATAATATAAGAGCAATTATTCTCCTCCTTATCATTTTTTAAAACTCTTTTTTATCATTTTGGAGCTAAAAATAGAAGAAATTTGTTGAAATTTGTGAACGTTTTCATTCTAACCTCCCTCAGATTAAAGCTGTTTTATCTTTTATAGGAGTTTAAAAAACAATTCAGTTCAGTGTCAGAGAAAAGCATCAAATCCTCACAACAGAATAAATAGATTTCACACTGATACTCATCAGAATAACTGAAACAGTGAACTGACTATCAGAGGAGGTGCCGAACACATTTCTGTTTTTACTATTTTACTATTATTAGATTAGATCCGATCTGAGACCTGCAGCAGACAAACAAGACTAACTGAGTAAAAGCCGACTTCAGCTGCTGTCGGCTGGACGCAGATCAGCTCTGAAACACTAAACCTGCAGCTTTCATTTAAAACTCCTCCTTCAGTTTCTGTTACAGCTGCAGACAGACAATCCAAAGCAGGGTTAAAGACAGAAACAGCAGCTTTACACAGTAGCTCCAGGTTTAATTCAGGATGGACTCACCCATGATGCATCTGTTTCAGTGTCAGTAAGTTCTAAGCTCCACCAGGAAACACAAAGTTTCTTGTGTTCAAAACCCGTCTGTGACTGAAGTTAGTCCACTGCTGCTCTGTAGCTCCGCCCACATCTGCATATAGACCCGCCCACTGTACATGTAGCCCTGTCTGTGTATACATATAGCCCTGCCCCTTCCCAATCGACCCGTGAATCAGCTACTGTTCGATGCTGCAGCTCCATAGATTTATAAACCCTCCCCCCAGTGAATCCTGGACACTTCTCAAGATTTCATAAAACCTCCTCATACACAGACCATTCTAAAACTTTCTTAAGGACTCTCAAGGACCCCTTACAATTGACTAACTGACTCCTGGAACCCCATGAATCTCCCTGAAACCTTCTCCAGGACTCCTGGATCTCTTCCCTGCAGTCTGGTTCTGTAAACACAGTGGATCAGTATCAGTGTGATCAGTCTGCAGGGAGCTGCTGGTTTACGAAGGCCAGGAAACACTTAAAGTCTGCACACAAACACACAAACACACAACACTCTGACAACGCAACAAAAACCTAAAAAAAATATATATGAAGGAAACACTGAAAACAGGCTGAAAAACGCTGATCTGGATGTTAGAGGGATTGGTCTCTTGACTTTAAAGTGCTTCTTTAACAGCTGACAACACAACAGCACCTGCAGAAACACAGTTTTACCCTCCTGTGGGCCCAGTCGAAGGTTTTCCAGAAACTAAAGCTCGACAACATGATGCTGCCACCTGATGGCCACTGCAGGAACAACCAAAAAAGTAAAAATCTGTTTTTTTTCCAATAAAGGATATTATTTTGAAAAAATCATCACATGTTGGCAAAACCATCAGGAAACAGTCGCTGACAACAACGGATGACAGCGGCTTAAAATGAAAGCAAACTGACTGAAAACAACCGATAATAGCGACCAAAAAGGCGGTAAACAAAGACTAGAAATGACATTAAACAGCAACTGACAATTACAATAAACAGTGAGCAACAATGACATTGAACAAAGACTGAAAATGAAAGTAGAGACCAAGACTGTCAGTCAACAGTGACCCTAAACAATAGTAAACCGAAAACGACAGATAACAGTGCCTGAAAACAGAAGTAAACTGACTGAAAACAACCCTAAACAGACACTGAAATTAATCATAAGCTGCGGTTAAAAACGACAATAAACAGTGACTGAAAATGACAGTAAGCAAAGATTAAAAATGACTTCAAACAGCGAACAAAAATGACTTTACCTGCAACAAAAACCTCAGTAAACAAATTCCAGAAATGACCGTAAACAAGCATTTCATAACAAACAGTCACTAAAAATGACAGCTAACAGCGCGTTGGATCTCCCGGCCTCTTTATGTGATCCTTGTTGGCTACGGTCTCACAGCAGTAACACAAAAACACACAGTCACGACACAAATCTTCAGCCTCACAGACCGACAACACCGACAGTCATGAGACTCAACAGGTGAACACCTGTCCACCCCTCAGCTGACAGCAGCCAATCAGGAGAGAGGCTCTGCAGCGTGTCCGCAGCATAAACTGACCTCTGAGCCGAGTTTAAACTGATGACGACAGTAACTGACCTGGTTTAGTTTTTATCAGCTGTTTTTCATTCACAGACTCCAGAGGGATGTA